TGCTTACCTGACAATTAGCTGATACCCATCTATACTTCTGGGTGTGGAGAGGAACTGTGAGGGTACAGAGTTTTGCACAAGAACACAACTCAATGACCTGGCCAAGGTCTTGAACCCAGGCCTCTCGACCCTGTGTCCAGTGCACTGACCATTAGGCCACTGGAAGGGGTTGGGGGGGGGGTGGGGAAATCGCAGATTATGGTATTATCTTTGGTGCTCATTGTTGAAATTCCCATGTTTTAGCTGCATGTTTTCCTCTCTGTTGGGATTTGCAAGAAGAGGTATAAAATCTCTAACCACTCATAGTTAGGTTTCCTTTTAGGCATACAATAAATTATTTTGCGTGTCGAAAGGAAAAGAACTTGTATTTAACACCATATAAAGAGAACTAGGGAATTATGCAATAAGTCACGAAATACAAGAAACAATTTTAAAAAAAAAAACCCTCGTGATTGGAAAATCAAAATGAAATCGAAAGCGCAAGTTCATGGCCTATGGTCAAAATTTCAGGTTTTTTTGTTTACGACGATGGATCACATCCTACGCGGTTTTTAACGAATATAACATTCTTAAACAAATAATCGTAACTAGAATAAATAATTTTTTGAAAATAAAATTTTTATTTTTTTTAAAGTACATCTTAGTTTAAATTTGGAATCCTGAAAAAGTATGACCAGAATAATATTTCTTTTTCAAAAGAAAGTGAGTGGGAAACTGTTGAATAAGCTCGTTTCATTGTGATTTTTTTTGTTTTTTTTTGTCTTCGGACAGACAGCATCCGGATAAGATATTTTCATTTTGGTCGTTAGAAGGTTTTTGTTTATTTAAATTTCCAAAAGGGTGTAATTTGCAGATTTCTTTCGTTCGTGATAATTAACGCCTCCAAGCTCGAACAAAGGAAGAATTAACTGACTTAGTTTTAGGCCGTTATTTATTAATACTCTGGAAAAGCATGCACGTTATGATGATTTCAGACAACATGTACAGACGTAATCAGAAAAGAAACAATCTCGTGACTTTTGGTTCTTGGGCAGTCCAAAATTATCACTGGTTTCAGACATCTTCCGACGTCTCGAAGAGCAATCTTGTTGTTTGCCTTTAAAGTTGCATAAAATTTGCTTTTTTCCCAACAACCTGCTAATCTCTCCCATGAGAGGGCGTCATTGTCTATCACACGTCAAAAAACCCCAGTTTTCATTAAAAACCTGCGGAGCCAAACGTTGACAGGGGAAGGACAAGAATCAACGCCAGGGAATAATAGTAAACAAATTTTACTTTCATATCCGCACGACAGCATGGAAAATGGGTTCTACGCTTTTTGGCCAAAAGGCATATGATTCTTGGTACGATTTTGGCGAAACATCATTCTCTGCTTAATCAATCGAAGCAATACTGAAATCAGTTGCTCAAATGGCGGCAAAGCCTCAAACGCCCACGATAAAAATCGATTTCTGGGAGCCAGACGCCGCAAGCACTAACAGCGGAGCAGTCAAAAAGATCTCGGTGGAAAAACCTTCTGTGAACAAACTGAAACTCAAGTACAAAACCGAGCGACTTAGAAGCTACAGCAATAGTCTCAGGGATGCTGTTATGACTAACAATCCCGAGGCGATTTCTAGAATTGTCAAAGAGGAAGGAGTCAAAGTCAATGAAATGAGCAAGAACGGCGTTCCATTGATTCACGAGGCAGCATTTGATGGAAAACTGGAATGTGTGAAAGCGTTGCTGGATTGTGGAGCGCAAGTAAACACGCAGGATAGCGAGGACTGGACTGCACTGCATGCAGCCGTCTTGGGCGGCCATGTGGAACTTGTGCGTTTGTTGATCCACAAAGGCGCCGATGTGTACGCTGAAACAATCGAGAGGTACATTCCCTTTCACATCGCGATAGAGAAAGGTGACGAAGACATGATCGCCATATTGGTGGAGGAGATGGCTAAGCTGTCGTCGTTTAAGGGAAGCTAAGTAACTAAGAGCAATAAAGGAAATCACTCTATTTGCGAGATTGTATCAAGCAATGAAAAACCTCTCTTTTTAGATTCATGTAATATCTAGTGACTTAATTTTTGTTGAGCTGTGTTGTAGAGTTTAAATACGCGTTAGAATTTAACTTCGACTAATCTTATCTACCTCGCTTCCGCTATTCTCACTTTCCAAGCATTTCTAAGCTTTAAATGGAGGTGTAAGGCACACGATACTACTGAAGGCTGAATGGGGTATCATGTTGCGCTTCAAGTATGTACAGCGTTATGTTTCAGTTGTAAACGCGAGCCATGAAAATCAGTAATTTTCAGAATTGGTTACGCACCTCATTCAGGCCTACATGATAAAAAAAGCGCTGACGAAGGGCTAACGCTCGAAACGTCTGCTTCGAAATTCTTTACGGTGGCCAATTTACGTTATCTAGTCAGTTGGTAATACTAAATTACCCTGTTATACTCTCCCACCAAGGCAGCGCCACAGTTTCTTTAGAAATTTACCCCATTTATTTGAGTGTCATTTAAAGGTCTTTTAAACGGAAATAACAGAATCTTCAAAGCCTGATTTCCACTGATTTCGTTATCTGGAGCGGCCCAACAGTCTCGAAAAAATTCAAAGAGGTCGACGTCGAGTCTGTGGATGAGTAGGACTGCTATGAGAGATAACCAAGCGAGACGCGGTTGCAGAAGTGAAATACATGGCTCATTGTGTAGTTACGTTGTTCCAATTTTTAAAAAGCTTAATCCTTCCCTTACCCGGACAACTGAAGCAACCACTATCGTCTGTATAAAATTAATTTTTACCAGAAGCCCATTACTATAAATGGGTTCCTGCTTTTACTTAAGCCTGTTTTCCATATGATCGCCCATAGAGTCCTAATCTCATCTGCGAGCAGGCTCCCGACGGCGCTGCTGATCGAGCATATCGCGGACTTGCCTCAAATTCTACGATAGTCGAAACATAGTCGAAACACAGCCGAACACAGCCGACAAATTTCGGTGCATTTGCAAACGTTATAGAGGCTAGGTGGCGTGCTTTTAGGGCGGTGTCAAAACCGCGTTGTCTAGTAAACAATCACACAAGCGAGTAAGTCACGGTGTTTGAAAACCGCATAACTTTTTTGATAAAGCCAACAAAAAAACGGTAAATCAGCAGGTAACTCCTAATCAAATAAGCATTGTTTACGAAAAGTCTCGAGATTCCATTTCTTACCTTTTTTTCCTTTTTCAGTTAACATGAGCGTATCAAGGGGTTTTTCGCATACTTGGCGTGACAGCGGTTGTTTCAATTGTTTCCCCTTAGAAATTTTGCGTGGAAAACTGTTGCATTGTTGACCAAAATTGATTCCACTGCGCAGGGCCTACGTTTGACCACTGTGTTCGAGAGCTGATTTGGTGCTGGAGAAGCCCGCGAGATGCTCGTGAGTCTCGTGAAGCAGCACAAATGAGAGCCACCCCGTTTGTTAGTCTAAATCTTCTCGAATATTTGTAAGTATGTATGAAAAATTGAGTAAACGGGAACGACACGAGCGATCAATTGTAAGCCTGCCCTAAGTCAAGAAGCTTAAACTGAAAAACTACTGATGCCGTCATTGGCTTTATTCGAAATATTCTTGTTGAAGTCCCCATTGCTGATTGAAAGAGAATATATTTTCTTTCAACGAAAATTCTCAGTCTTCTTGATCCGTAGTAGTTAACAGATGGCCTCTTTTTCTTCTATTTTGAACCTGAGAAACCGGAATTTTTGTCCAGGAAATCGAACAATTTGATCACTTCTTGTCATTTCCATTTTTCCCCTTTAGCTTCAAAGTTTCGCTATCTTGTGCCCAGAAGGTTCGATTGAAATCCATAGTGATGTCGATCGAAGCCGAGTGGGACAAACGCATCAACATGATCGAATCGGGCGCGCCGCCATTTTGTTTGCGCCCGCATACTTAGAAAGACCCAGCCGAAAAGTCAAATACGTCAGTTGTCCTACTTTTGGCGCATGGTGTTGTGGTGTTAGGAAAGTGGAAAACGGAGAGAGGCCGGGATAGTAAAAAGGCACTCTCTAATTAAAATTAGCACTATCTGATGATTTCCCTAACTAAATTTACGGGGAAGTCTGAGTGTCCAAAATTACCGTTCCTGTGAAATGTCGTTTCATGAGGACACCGGGTAGGCACATGATGGTAGGTGAACTCTCTTAGTGCTGGGATTCTGAATGCGATAAACCTACCGCTTACTTTATTCTTTCATTTGATCGTTCAGTCTGGGTGAGGGTAGTCCTGAAAAGGACTGTTGCTAGTCGTGGTGACTTCCTTATCGGAAGTCATCATCAGATTCAAGTGACTTTGATGGTGACTCTAGTGACTGTCTCGACTCCAAAGACGACTTCCGGTAAGGTTCTCCACTACCGACAACAGTCCATCTCAGAACTACCTCACCCGGACGATTAGACTACTCGATCGAATTATTTCCCCAGATTCAAACCATTGTATATTCTTTCAAAAAATCCCTTTTTCAAAATAATCTATAAGAAACTAGCAAAGTAGACAACGCATTATCTTCTCGAGACAATCAACACTTTAATCCTAAGGACCGCTGGGCGCCTCGCGCACAGCAAGGATGATTTTGAAGGAAAAAAAATCGACTGTGAAGACAGACCGATTGAATGAAAATGAAGATATGAGTCTAGGACACTGCAATTACAAACTTTTCGCTCATCGCTTTAAGGCAGGTGTTAATCAGGACAGAGCAGAATCAACTTAAGCTAACAATTTATTAATTCATGCAAGCGAAGAAACTTCGAGGCCTCTGGGAACATCGAACCCCTACGTTTATGACGCAAATAGTTTCTATTCATTACTCCCCTCATGGTATTCAACGCCTGGCTGGATATAGTCACAGCTGTGTAGCGACAAGATCTCCTTCATCAACAAAACAAACTGAGCCAAAACAAACTCTCATCAGCGAAATTATGCCCAAAATAGGTTAATAATTAACATGCTCTGTTGAACCTTACCTTGGGCGCTAGCAGAACACTGGGACGCATTGAGATCCCAACAAAAGGCATCTATTTAGAAAGTTTTGTTAGATTGGCTTACGAATCATAAAATATTTGTTGAGGAAATTTCTAATTGAGCTCTCAACAGAAATTTACAATAGTTTGTGCTTAAATATCGAAGCCCAATATTTGATACCCCCCATCGAGATGACGATGTTTTACGTCAACAAATGATTTATATTTAACAGGTATTATTACCCGGATTTAATTTATGGATACTAAGGTGAGAGCGGAAGCGAGTTTGCATGTTTCGGTGTCGCGCGTGACAAAAACCGCTGGTGTAGCAGCTTATATTTCAGTGGATTAAAACTGATTATCCATTCAGAAACCATCAACTGTACGTGTCAAAGTTGTCAAGTTATCGTTCTTTTGATCCAATAGTTTCCTTATTAATCGCGAGGGCAATCAGAGTTTTTGGAAGAGGCGAGAGCGTAAATCAGCGAAGATGTCGCTGCCGGAGCTAACGGTCGGCCAGGTGAACTACAACAGCATTGAACTCAAATGGGGAGATTCGGAAAATGATACCGACAACAAGAAGCGAAAATTGTTTCATGTACAGTTGAACAAGGCTCGTGCGCGAAGCGCTTGTCCTGGCGGACCGACGCTCGATCCTCTAACCAACTACCAGGGTTACAGTCAACAGTTTGTTTTCAAAGGCTTGGAGTCTATGACTCAGTACCAATGCCGTTTGCGGATCATGGAGAGCGACAGTGATCGGCATGGAGGCGGATGGAGCGAACCGATAACTGTCTGTACACCGAACGAACCTCCATCCGGAGCCGAGCTGCACAAGGCGGTTTCCAGGCAGGACTTGGAAACCGTTCGTAAAATTCTTAAAGAAAATAGCGCGGTAGTTGAGGTGATGGACAAGTTTGGATTGACTCCACTTATGGTAGCTGCTCAAAAGGGATATACAGGTGAGTCAGATTCAACCATCATCCGACATAAAAACTGGAATTTAGGTTACTCAGTGGGAATTTTTATTAATCTCGTTTTATGCAAATTTTTTTTTGTATCTTACGTACATCGAACTATATATGTAAAGTTGGAGTAAATCCATCTCGCGCTTGAATTTTGTTTGCGTTTTAACGCCGGCTCTCGCGTCGAATCCATTTACACGGGATTACATGTTAAATTTGTTACGAAGTTTCCGCTTTGTGTTTTACGTCGATGCTTTCAAAGGTATTTGCAACCCGACAATGAAAGCTGTACTCTGTAGTACGCCGTGCTTAAACAAAACAATAAAGGTCGTAGATTGCTGTATTGATAAATTGGATCCTTAAATCTCCGAAGAGTCTAGTTAATTAGTTATTTCCATTTTTTTCTTGTGCAACACGAAAACGTTTCCTGGAGTGAAAATCCTTTGATAAGGAAATGAAACCTAAGATACAACAGGATGCTGGGCTTATATTCAAAAGTTTTTCTTGAAATGAAGTTTTGTTTAAAATAATTGATTAGTTTGCCAAGACTATTTTCTTGAAATCCAAACACTTCAAAGCGAATATCTGATTTTCTTAGAAGGGTTTGTATCTGTCAGCTATATCTGTTGTTTCCGGCGTTCAAACATACAAAAAATTCGGTAATTTTATATAAATAAGTTACCATTCCAAAGATTATTTTTTTTGGGCGATAAAGCTAAATTAAACGCAAAGGAAACTCGTCTACACAACAAAGCTTCCAGCTGTCTTCCTCATTTCATGCAATATAATTTATTTTATTTTATCGCGCGTATTCTTGATATGAGATGGTACGTGTTGATTGTCGATTCAACAGCTACTGCAGAAAATGATTTGTCGTTACTGAAGCCAAGGGACAATTTTAATTCACATTTTTGCTGTCAAAGGACTTTGAAATAATTGAAAAGCAAAAGAAGCATTGCCACAGGGCCCATTACTGACATTAATGCATCAGCTAAGTTGAAATGATTAATATTTGAAATAGTACAGCGGGTTTTCTATTCAGCATCCTCGATAATTATGAATGATAATTCTATATAATTTTCATTTGTAAAGCGATGACTACGAGCGAGCGAAGCATATCTCGTTATAACAAAAAGGTGACCGATTTGTTGATCTTAAGAGTTAGTTACCATGGCTTAAGTTTAATACTATCTGATATGCTATTGTGAAATTTTGCTCTGCAAATCAAATCGTGTCAATTTTATTTACTCTAAACTGTACCTATTCATAATTACAGCAACGCACAAGAAACAAAAAAAGATCTTTTTATGATATTATGAGCCTTTCGTTTCTTGTTAGCTTTTGCTTTTAAATTAGCTTTACGTAGTCATGTAAAACAAAATTATCTCTGTTACTCTGTATTTGACGGGTTGCTTTCCGCGTTCGGCCCGTTTTGAATTACAAAAAAAAAGCGAACTCGAAAATGATGCGATTAAGCCATACAGCGCATACAAGCTGATTAGCATGCCGATGCATAATTAAATCGACTAAACACCGTTAACACTTGTGATCAGAGACTATTTGGGTAAGGAATTCTAACTGTTATACTAGCGATTTCTGGCATGAAGCGATCGGTAAAGCCAAATAAACTTTTCGGGAGGCAATAGATTTTAAATTCCTTTTTCGAAAAGCTAAAAACAAACAAACAAATTTGCACTTGCTCCACATAAAATCCTTTGATTCGTTTTTAAAACGGTGTTTGATGATAAATGCAGATATAAGGATGTGTTCTGAAGCAGATAACTGGCCTACATAACCTTGCAGTTATACATTTCCTGGTAGCCAAGAATGCACTCCGAGATATCTCTGAATGAAGGAAATTGAGAGCAATGATAGGGAAACGTGATTGCCCCTTCTCTCGACTAGTATCCCTATTTAGCCCGAGCACTGGGGCTCTCACTTGGGTTTAAAAGCCTTAAAGACATGGTGAACAATACAGAAAACGGCTAAGGAGCGGATTTAGGCAAGCCTAGACTCAGGCAAGGGCGTGGGGGGAGGGGTTTGGTCGAGACATAGGGAATCCGCATTTGTTTTGTCAGTTTGGATCAACGACGGCTCTCCTTTCGTCGAAATCATGATTTATTCTTATCTTCACCCCAAACGGGAGCCTCTCTATAAGTAATTTCTTGTTAATCAAGCTTTAACTATATCCTTCGCAACTTTCCTGGCGGTGTCACGTAACACTTTCTAAAAGCTTTGTGTGACATCTCAGAGAGTAGCTTCGGGGGAGACTAACTAACGTTATCTATAATGTGGATGCGGCCTGACACGTTTCAGTTTTACAAAGAACTTATCCGTAAATCAAATTTTATCCTTCTCAGATGTGATGGAAATACTCCTCGAATTTAATGCCGATCCTGAATACCCAAACACCAGCGGCAAGACCTGTCTGATGATCGCCTGTTACGCCGGCCAAGAGGAAGCTGCTAGATTGCTACGTCAGCACGGTGCCTTGTGGGAAACACGTGACAAGAATGGATTAACCGCTGTACACTGGGCGGCAGACGGAGGCCATGATGATCTTCTTTTATGGCTTGTGCGTGATGGAGGCCCGGTTGACATACAAGACAATGTCAATGGCTGGACACCCTTGATGCGAGTTGCGTGCCTCACCGGAAATGATGAAGTCGCAGAAGTTCTCATTGCGAAGGGTGCCGACATCAACAAGATTGACAAATCTGGAAAGACAGTTTTGATGGCGGCCTCTATGAACGGGCATTTTAACCTGGTGCGTTTGCTTGTCGATAAGGGCGCAGATGTGTTTGAAAAGAACAGAGAAGGGAAAACAGCTTTGGAATTCGCCAGATCGATGGACAGGCACAGGATTATTAAATATCTTGAATTCCAGGTGGCAAAGGAAGAAAAACAACGAAAAGCGAAACTCCTGGAAGAGAGACTCAAAGAGAGTCAACAGAGATTGGGCCAAATGCAAATAAACTCTTGAACATAAAGTTTTGGAAACCTCCAATCAGGGCTACTCTTAGGATTATGAGAAGAGACCCTTGAATAGAAAGGTTTCCTTAGTAAAAGGAAGCGGAAACAGTGAAACCTCCATTTAGGGGACATTCTTAGGACTATTAAAAGTGTCCCTTGAATTGAGGAATCCACTCAATGAAGATAGCAGGTTATAACGAGGTTTTTGCTTCCCTTGAATGGAACTCTCCTACATTTAGGTGTTCCAAAGAAAGCTTTTACTTTCGTCTTAAATTATAAAAATTTTTGGAGCTACTAGAAGATAAATGAATGTCTCAGAACATCTTTTTATGTTACAAATCGCTAATATTTGTTTAGAAACGATATCTTCGTCGTCGTTAGCCCTTACATTCCCATGAGTGACTAAGAGAGAATTTTTTCTTTAAATATCAATACAGTGTCAAGCAGCCAAGTGATGCGAGGAAGAAAAAATATGAATTTGTTATTTTTCTCTGATCCAATTCCAAGTTCTCCGAACAAACATCGTAAGGATTGTACGGCCGACAGCAAGGAGAATTACATGAGCTCTTGGGAGTGAAAGGATTAAGGTCGATTTTTATGGCTTTGCAAATTTGTTTTCACCAGCTCGATTTGAGCACTAATAAGACAGCAGGCTCAGCCTGATAAGGCAGCATATGCCTCATGCTTGTAATTGGACGGTGTAATAGGACAGTTAAAGGGACAGTTAAAACGTCATGCCAGTGGAAGTGGACAGAACACGTCGCGTGAGCGCGCTGTTGTCTTGCATTTTGTTGAGTTAACCGTTGATTTTTTATGAAAACGTACAACCGATGTCTAGTTTCTTTCTCAAATTTTGTCATAGTTTGGTTTTATTAGTAACAGGAATTCGTGTCGTCCCATTCTGTCTGTAATCATACTCATGATTAATAAATCGGATTCCCGCTTTGGTCCGATTTTGTCAATCACTCGTATGATTACAGACCGAATTGGACTTCACTTAGTCCTATTACCATTATTAAGCGGTGGAAATTTAAAAATCACTTCATAACTGAAAGCAATCTTATTGCCGGTGTCTGATATTCTTCATTTTTGCGAGGTTGTGCATCAGCAAGTTGCTCAAAGGGGTTCGAGTTTACTTCGTTTAATTAATTCATTGGGTATGATTACATTATGTGCCGTTCACTGTGTCCAATTAGAGGTAAAATAATTAAAGCTTAATTAATGTCGTCAATAATTTATTGTTAATTTATTCTCATTCCCTGAAAAGGAATGAAAAATTAGAAAGGTGCCCATGAAATGAAAAATAATTGCTGCTTATTTTAAAGGCTTTTCAAAATATTTTTAAAAACATGTTCTTTCGTGGCAAGATATCAAATGCAGTTTTGATACCCCGGGCTTAAAAACAAGAACAAAAAAATTTGCAAAGGGAATTTAATTGGCTCAACAGCGTTCATTGAAGTGGTAAGGGGTGTATAAACGGGATTTAATCATGTTTGGAAGTTTGCCACAACAGATCCAGTTTACTGAAATACGTCTCGTTAACAGGTTTTGTGTAAGCTTTTAAACATTATAATAGTTCAAATTCATTTTGTTATTCGCAACAATCAGATTACAATTAAAACGAACGAACTTTAAGAAAAAAAAAACAACGGTATTCAGTCTTTCCCCATGAACTGCATAAAAGAAACAGATAATACTAAAAATTATTTAATAAATTCCATGTTGCCGTCCGTCTGTTCACTATTAGATCACAGATGGCGTCAAAATGTGGTAAGAACAAAAAGAAAAAGGCACCCTTCTGTCGACGCTTTTAATCAGAAGTACCTCTACTAAAGCCATGTTGCCAAGTATCAAGTACTGCTTATATACTCGAGAGAGGGAGGATGTTTTGTGCTTTAGCAAAGCAGTACATGACCACAGCCTCTATTCAGAGTCTAACAGAAAAAAATCAAGATCATTAACAAATTGCACAAATGAAATTACGTGTCCAAGGCTAGTTCCTGGCACACTTTTGTTTTCAACAAAAGAAACAAAAAGTTGCAACTGAGAGGTGATTATCAGTCTGAGCATCGTTAGTTTTTGGAAGGAAACTGGCCTTTGGCTCGCTCTTTGACAACCTCCACATCGACACACTGGAGTTTCCCAAGTAAATCATTTAAATCCCTCTCGAAATCTCTCTCGAGCGTCTCTGATCTTTCCAGCGCACTTGACATCTGTTGTAACTTTCTCATTACTTTGTCGTACACTTTCGACCCATCGGTGCTTTGTTTTCTCAACATCGACTTTTTATGGAACTTTCGTCGGAGACCCATTGCCCTTTCAACAGAAACATTATTTTGAAGCGCCTTCCTTTCGTCGTTCTTGTTCGGGCTTTTCCCAACACCAGTGTCAGTTTTCTCCGCATTCTGGGATTCAGACTTCCTTCGGCGGCGAGCGTATGCCGCATGAAACCGCATCATTTTCACAGCAAACTTTGTTGTGAACTGAGAAAGAAATCTCTTAATTCAGTCGATCAAAAGGATTCTCTCGGGTGTCTTGTTGCTAGAAGGGTTCTAGCTCTCTTCACACGTTCGTTGAGTGTTTCAGCAAATTTGCTCTCAACAATTACTATTTGCTTGTAGAACGTAATGCAAATAAGTTAAAAGCGCAAACACATTTGTTAATGAATAATTCGAGTCCTAAGCTTTAATTTTCCTCGCGGTGGACAAATTGCTCCTAATGAGTTCTGGCGAGAAGTAATTAGTAGCTTAAAGTGCTAAAATGTTACACACACTTCAGCAAAAATGATTTTATCGTCGTGCACCGACTGTCTGATTTCTGTTTTACCAGTACTAACTTTCTTTTATTTGTTAATGCGTGATTCGTTAGTCATTCGTATAAATTGTGGAAGGGGAATTTTTGTTTTTTTCAATCTTGCTATGGCAACCTCATTAACGGTCGCCGAAGTTAAATGTAAATTTTGAATGGACTGTCGGTAGACCAGGCAAAAAGCTCTTTTTTTAAAGTATCAAAATTCTTGACAAAATTGTTTCGCGCTTCTTTGGACAACGATGAAATTTTTTTATTCTGAATGCTTCTGGCATGAGTCAAAAAGGATGCGCACTGAAAATATATGATTTTTATTGCAAATGAGTAAAAAGGCCTATTGTGGAGCATTTCTTCGAAGGACAAGTCTTAAGGGCGCGTGGGTGAGTCTAACCCCACGACGGTTGGCGGTCCAGTGAGCTACTTTCCAGTAATTTACGAGGACGGACGTAACGCCGAGTACTTGAAAGCACTGACACGGAAACAGAATGAAAATCAAAACCTACCCAAACCCGTTTCACTACTCTAGAGATATTTTGTAATTTTCTTTTATATACTTATTACTAGTTATAGTTCTCACTAGAGCTGCCCCCGCCCTACGGTACCATTTTCTTTTTTTACCTTGCGGCCGTGCAAGCGATCAAATCGAGATTTTTTTTGGTTACGATCAACCGAAAACACCTACATTCTCTCTTCTCCAGTCTTCCTCTATACTAGGACAAATCTCGTGTCAAAGACGCCGATCCTAAAAGTCCTCGCGCGCGTGTCTTTTTACTGGCAGCCCATGACCATTTGCGGGAAAAACGTTGATACGTTGCGGCCGTGCAAGCGATCAAATCGAGATTTTTTCTGGTTATGATCTACCGAAAATACCCACATTCCCTCTTCTCCAGTCTTCCTCTATATTACGCGGGGAGTCCTAAGGTGCCTCCTCGGGTTTTTGGCCCTCTGGGGCCTAAAACCCTGCGGGGGCAATAATTAGGTATTTGCTTTTTCTACTGAGAGGGAAGAGAAGGCTCTGGAAACGAGATTGGAATTGTAACAATTGTAATCCCTCACAATGCTTTTCATATCGCATGAAAACTCCCGGATGAACTTCACGAGGTTCAAAATCCAACATGGCGGAACGTGAGATCACAATCAGAGGAAGGCGACTTTCTCAATTGAAAGTTGATGAACTTAAAGTTGAGCTGGAAAAACGCGGCCTCAAGAAAAGTGGAAACAAAGGAGTTCTTATTGAGAGGCTACAGGAGGTAACGGAGAGCTCTCTAACGCGGGAAAAAACCCGTAGATTGTACTATCTCCTTTCCCCAGTTTGTTTGCGTTTGCAGCTGAGCTTTCTGTTCATTTTCAGCTGTTTCTGTCTTCCGATATGAGGGAGTTCTTTTAGACGTGCATATTTTAAACAACAAGAGAAGGAAATTTTTGATAATTGATAAATGCATTGTTTACATCAGTGTAACGATGCAATTTCAAAGTCATCGACTATGTGAAGAACATCTCAATTTACACAAAAGTTGTGCCGTAAAAGGCAGATAATCGAGCATAATAATCTGAATGAAATTCAGTGATATCTCGATCTGGGTTATTATGTTAAGGTTAAGCATTGAAATCTTAATTCTTCAATGCAATGTAGTGTCTAAAATTTATTTGCAAGAATTTGGCAGCTACTCGCCATACTACGATAAAATGTAACTTTCCCAAACGCCTAAGTAATTTCACTTTCTACTCGTATTATACTCTCAGCAATGAGAGAAATGTAGATTAACTAGAAACCTTAAGGTGAAAGTTTCTAGCAACTGAAATTTTGTGAGATTATCAGAGAAAGCCCAGTCAAAATCTCCCTTCAAGCCAAGACTGAGAACCAAATAGACCAGCTCTTTTATCAATAACAAGGATTGTAGAATATTTGTCGCAAATATTCTACAATCCTTGTTATTGATAAAAGAGCTGGTCTAAATGACACTACCTTCTTGGCATCATCATATCCAGCTGATTGTATTATCAATACTTTAAACAACTATTGTCAGATCTTAACAAGGTAGTTTGGTATTATCAACTGAGTTAATAGTATAAATTGGTCATTGTCAATAGTTTCAAAGCTGGCATTTTAAGTGTTAGCCCTTTGTCAGAAAAAAGAGTTAACACTTGAAACTTCAGCTTCAAAACTCTTAACAGGGGCTAATTTCTCTCCCTCCAATGCAGCACTGTAGTTTCTTTAGAAACTTACCTATCTGCAGCCTGATTTGTCATTCTTTTACTCCAAAGATCTAAATTTAGATAGTTTCTGTCATATATGTACATTTGAATTAAGATATGAGAAATTTGTGTTAAGTGAAGCAAATATTTCCCAAGTATTTCTTTCTTATCAAGCCCCCAAGGTTAAATTTATAATTCTCCCTCCTAGCTGGTCTGGATTCCTAATTCTCTTTTTCCTCTTTTCATTTCATATTTTAGGCCATTGACAAGGAAATGGAAATGAAGGAAGGGTTTGAGAGTTATCCTGTGCCACAACAAGCTCCTGCACGGGTTGGAGAGCCGTGGCCTCATCCCATGATGCAGCAACAGCAACAACCTGGTATGCTAGAGAATAAGGCTAACACAATTCTTATGTTTTTGATAGGTCCATGTAAAATGTAGAGTTACCCATTCATGCTCTTTCAGCTTCCCTAATTTTGCTTGGGTTATGCCTATTGAGGTAAGCACAAGTGAAAGCACAACAGCTCAAACATTGGCGTTAATGCAAGTACAAACACAAGCACAGGCATAAGGATCAGAGTTTTTCTTTTTCTTGTGCTAATGCTTGTGCTTGTTGACATTAGTTTTCTCTTGGCATGTTTACCTTATGCATGCATTTGTGCTTGGGTCACTTGTGAAAACCAGGCTCAATCTGTCAGTGATTTGGTTATTTAAGTGAACAAGGCCTATAGTCTTTCAGTCAGAGTTAGCTCTCTTTAACCCTTTATACCCCAATATCAGTATGCATATTCTCCACATTGTCCTTTATACAGTTCTAAAGGTGCTATCAATGGGAATTTGTTTGACAATCAAGAGCATCTCTCCTTGATGATCATTTCCTGTATTCTCGTGACCTTAACCCTTTCACTCCTAAGATCTGATTGTTAATTCTCCACTGTAGCTGCTAGACATTTCCTTGTAAATTAGCTATGAGAATTTGGTGCTATATCAAGATAGCAGCTTCTACCTGATAAGTTTGATTATTCTGATTACCTGTTTGCTGAAGAATGTATGGATATTGTAGGGAGAAGTTTTATGTTAATCACTTCTGGGAGTTAAAGGGTTAATGTTTGATTCAGAGGTGATATTGTAGGAGAAATTAGATTTTAGTCACTCTTAAGGGCCAAAGGTTTAAGTTAGCATTGTTAGGATTCAATGTGAATGTTCTCTTGCAGGAGAGAGGTTTTGCTA